CGTTCCGCTTTCATGCGGCTTGCGTCGTCGCGCGAGTGACCGAGCGTCAGCGAAGCGGGTCGCCGTCGCTGTTCTCGTCGCTCGCAAAATCGTTTACATTCGGTTTATACTTCACGCTGTCAATAATATCGACTCGAGCGCGCATAATTTCATTTCCACGGGAGCGCGTGTAAATCAAACCCTAAACCAAGACGGGGGCTGCAGCCAGCAGCTTTGAGAGCGTCATACAATGGATTATAGTTTGACAGAAGCAAGCACACACTTCGCTAGCGCATTCCAGCCTTGAGCGCTCGAACTTCCGAAAACGAAACCAGATTTTGCTACATTTTGGCTAGCTCGAAAAAAATTTTTTTAAGTATAGGGTGTCTTTTAGCTATAATCTAGACTAAGAGAAATGTGTACCTTCCCAAATTATATTTATGTCGCCGTACTATATAAGTAATAATTGTGTAATATCGTTACGTTCATATAAAATACGGGGGGTGTCACCGGACCTTCGTCTGAAACAAAAAGTCTGCTATATATACCGAGCGGGTTTCTATTGCAATCGAGTAGGAGTGTCGGGTTGTTAGTGCCTCTGTTCGTTGTTTGTGTATGTAGATGTTTGTATGTTGATCTTGTGGCATGTGTTGTGATGTATGTGTTGGTATGCTGCCGTCCGGGTTCGAGCGTGTCACTTCCACAAATGCCAAAATGTCCTTAATTTTTGTAGTTTTCCGCATACTCACTAGGTGGCGCAAGGAGCCGCCCAATTTTATTTTAGCTTTGTTTGTACATAGTCCATTTATGTGTAAGGAACCACACCACATAGCTACAGTCTAGTAGAAAAGTAACCGCGTGTTTAAATGGCGCATAGCGCCGGCGTTCAGTTCGTCTTCGTTCGCTGGCCGTTTCGGTAGCCGATTCGTACCCGGAAAGCCGCAAAATTTGCGTACACACGAGATATGAGTGGATACGTCGAAACGTCGCGTACAACTTTGCTCGCGGTAAAGAGGTGAGCGGGACGTCGGTAACGCCGGTCGGGTAGGGTAGGGTCGGGTCGGGTCGGTGTCGGAGCTATTCGTCGTCGCTCGCGGCAAACGGGCTTTTTCAATAAAGTTCATGTCTGTGGTCGCGAAAAGATAACTGCTGTGGAAATTACCCGGCGTCGGTGACAATGCAACCGGCTTGAGGCCTCGGCGATCGGCTGAACCGCCACGCGAACGAGACCTGCTCGATGGGGAAGCACGCTGCTGGATGCAGTCGATGGTCGCTCCCACTGTCGCGTAATCGCCGTAATGGATACGGCTTCGGCGCTTGGGGGTGAATGCTTGCGGTAGTTCAGCACGTATGGACGACTACGAACGAACACGTGCAAACTACGCTTTCGCTGCGGCGAAAAGCCGTGTAAAGCGCTGGGCCTCGCTCGTCGAACCCGTCTTGCGTCAAACGGCCGCCATTGTAAAAAAACACCCCTAGACGTGTGATCGCAGAGCGAAGTACACGTCCAAAGATGTTCATTTTACACGAGACCTCGGGTGCAAACGAAATACACCGAGCCTCGCGTGTAAAACGAACACCATTTGGGGAGTCCACCCTGGGACAACGGTTTACACGTCCAGGGGTGTACTTTTTCGCTGTGTGTGTACGAACAATTTCAGGCCAAAGCGGCAGAAAGCGCGGCGGGTTATCAAGGTGCTACAAAGCCTGGCCGTGATCGACGGACTGCAACTGCTGCGCTGGGCTACGATCAAGTCATCGATTCCTGCCCGCCGGTGATTGGCCGACAACACTACGAGCCGTGCGCTACTCATCTTCAAAAGACGACTGTCTTCACTGTGTCCGTCATTTGGCAGCGGCGGCGGCAACTGCGTCACGTACTAAATCTACGAACAATTTCAGGCCAAAGCGGCAGAAAGCGCGGCGGGTTATCAAGGTGCTACAAAGCCTGGCCGTGATCGACGGACTGCAACTGCTGCGCTGGGCTACGATCAAGTCATCGATTCCTGCCCGCCGGTGATTGGCCGACAACACTACGAGCCGTGCGCTACTCATCTTCAAAAGACGACTGTCTTCACTGTGTCCGTCATTTGGCAGCGGCGGCGGCAACTGCGTCACGTACTAAATCTACGAACAATTTCAGGCCAAAGCGGCAGAAAGCGCGGCGGGTTATCAAGGTGCTACAAAGCCTGGCCGTGATCGACGGACTGCAACTGCTGCGCTGGGCTACGATCAAGTCATCGATTCCTGCCCGCCGGTGATTGGCCGACAACACTACGAGCCGTGCGCAACTCATCTTCAAAAGACGACTGTCTTCACTGTGTCCGTCATTTGGCAGCGGCGGCGGCAACTGCGTCACGTACTAAATCTACGAACAATTTCAGGCCAAAGCGGCAGAAAGCGCGGCGGGTTATCAAGGTGCTACAAAGCCTGGCCGTGATCGACGGACTGCAACTGCTGCGCTGGGCTACGATCAAGTCATCGATTCCTGCCCGCCGGTGATTGGCCGACAACACTACGAGCCGTGCGCTACTCATCTTCAAAAGACGACTGTCTTCACTGTGTCCGTCATTTGGCAGCGGCGGCGGCAACTGCGTCACGTACTAAATCTACGAACAATTTCAGGCCAAAGCGGCAGAAAGCGCGGCGGGTTATCAAGGTGCTACAAAGCCTGGCCGTGATCGACGGACTGCAACTGCTGCGCTGGGCTACGATCAAGTCATCGATTCCTGCCCGCCGGTGATTGGCCGACAACACTACGAGCCGTGCGCTACTCATCTTCAAAAGACGACTGTCTTCACTGTGTCCGTCATTTGGCAGCGGCGGCGGCAACTGCGTCACGTACTAAATCTACGAACAATTTCAGGCCAAAGCGGCAGAAAGCGCGGCGGGTTATCAAGGTGCTACAAAGCCTGGCCGTGATCGACGGACTGCAACTGCTGCGCTGGGCTACGATCAAGTCATCGATTCCTGCCCGCCGGTGATTGGCCGACAACACTACGAGCCGTGCGCTACTCATCTTCAAAAGACGACTGTCTTCACTGTGTCCGTCATTTGGCAGCGGCGGCGGCAACTGCGTCACGTACTAAATCTACGAACAATTTCAGGCCAAAGCGGCAGAAAGCGCGGCGGGTTATCAAGGTGCTACAAAGCCTGGCCGTGATCGACGGACTGCAACTGCTGCGCTGGGCTACGATCAAGTCATCGATTCCTGCCCGCCGGTGATTGGCCGACAACACTACGAGCCGTGCGCTACTCATCTTCAAAAGACGACTGTCTTCACTGTGTCCGTCATTTGGCAGCGGCGGCGGCAACTGCGTCACGTACTAAATCTACGAACAATTTCAGGCCAAAGCGGCAGAAAGCGCGGCGGGTTATCAAGGTGCTACAAAGCCTGGCCGTGATCGACGGACTGCAACTGCTGCGCTGGGCTACGATCAAGTCATCGATTCCTGCCCGCCGGTGATTGGCCGACAACACTACGAGCCGTGCGCTACTCATCTTCAAAAGACGACTGTCTTCACTGTGTCCGTCATTTGGCAGCGGCGGCGGCAACTGCGTCACGTACTAAATCTACGAACAATTTCAGGCCAAAGCGGCAGAAAGCGCGGCGGGTTATCAAGGTGCTACAAAGCCTGGCCGTGATCGACGGACTGCAACTGCTGCGCTGGGCTACGATCAAGTCATCGATTCCTGCCCGCCGGTGATTGGCCGACAACACTACGAGCCGTGCGCTACTCATCTTCAAAAGACGACTGTCTTCACTGTGTCCGTCATTTGGCAGCGGCGGCGGCAACTGCGTCACGTACTAAATCTACGAACAATTTCAGGCCAAAGCGGCAGAAAGCGCGGCGGGTTATCAAGGTGCTACAAAGCCTGGCCGTGATCGACGGACTGCAACTGCTGCGCTGGGCTACGATCAAGTCATCGATTCCTGCCCGCCGGTGATTGGCCGACAACACTACGAGCCGTGCGCAACTCATCTTCAAAAGACGACTGTCTTCACTGTGTCCGTCATTTGGCAGCGGCGGCGGCAACTGCGTCACGTACTAAATCTACGAACAATTTCAGGCCAAAGCGGCAGAAAGCGCGGCGGGTTATCAAGGTGCTACAAAGCCTGGCCGTGATCGACGGACTGCAACTGCTGCGCTGGGCTACGATCAAGTCATCGATTCCTGCCCGCCGGTGATTGGCCGACAACACTACGAGCCGTGCGCTACTCATCTTCAAAAGACGACTGTCTTCACTGTGTCCGTCATTTGGCAGCGGCGGCGGCAACTGCGTCACGTACTAAATCTACGAACAATTTCAGGCCAAAGCGGCAGAAAGCGCGGCGGGTTATCAAGGTGCTACAAAGCCTGGCCGTGATCGACGGACTGCAACTGCTGCGCTGGGCTACGATCAAGTCATCGATTCCTGCCCGCCGGTGATTGGCCGACAACACTACGAGCCGTGCGCAACTCATCTTCAAAAGACGACTGTCTTCACTGTGTCCGTCATTTGGCAGCGGCGGCGGCAACTGCGTCACGTACTAAATCTACGAACAATTTCAGGCCAAAGCGGCAGAAAGCGCGGCGGGTTATCAAGGTGCTACAAAGCCTGGCCGTGATCGACGGACTGCAACTGCTGCGCTGGGCTACGATCAAGTCATCGATTCCTGCCCGCCGGTGATTGGCCGACAACACTACGAGCCGTGCGCAACTCATCTTCAAAAGACGACTGTCTTCACTGTGTCCGTCATTTGGCAGCGGCGGCGGCAACTGCGTCACGTACTAAATCTACGAACAATTTCAGGCCAAAGCGGCAGAAAGCGCGGCGGGTTATCAAGGTGCTACAAAGCCTGGCCGTGATCGACGGACCGCAACTGCTGCGCTGGGCTACGATCAAGTCATCGATTCCTGCCCGCCGGTGATTGGCCGACAACACTACGAGCCGTGCGCTACTCATCTTCAAAAGACGACTGTCTTCACTGTGTCCGTCATTTGGCAGCGGCGGCGGCAACTGCGTCACGTACTAAATCTACGAACAATTTCAGGTTGGTTCTAACTTCCCTTGACTACTAGTGTTGCTGTTGCTTTTGCTGTCGCTGCTGCCAAGCCTAGCGTGTTGGTTGTGTTCATTTTCATTGTTTTTCTCTATGTCGAAAGACGTAGTCAAACTGTTGAACGAATTCAAGGATGAACTTAAACAGGAGCTCAGGATGTTCAGGGAGTCACTCGAGAGGGATATCAGGACAGAGTTACGTGATATACGTGCCGATTTGAAAGAGTTAACGGAAATAAAAAAAGGAATGAGCTTTATTAACGAGGAGCACGAATCAATGAAGCAGTCACTCGCTTTAATCAAAAAAGAAAACTCTGGCTTGAAGAAAGAAAACGCTGAACTGAACGGTAAATGTGGCGAACTGGCCAGAGCGCTAAAGGAAACCGAAAACAGATTAGTCAGCTGCGAGCAATACTCACGCAACAACAACCTCGAGGTGAAGGGAATCCCGAAGGACCAAGCAGAAAATGTCGACCAACTGATAAGTAAACTCTGTGAAGTAATCGGCGAGCCGATAACCAAGGCAGATGTTGAAGCATGCCATCGGGTGCCGACAAGAGATAGGGAAAAGAGCAATATCATTGTTCGCTTCCAGAACCGTAACAAGCGAGACTGTGTCTTGGGAAAGGCAAAGAAAAAACGAATCTCGTGTTGTGACCTTGGCCTCTCAACGGAGGCTCCAGTTTATGTAAACGAGCATTTGTGCCCGTATTTGAAGAAACTGCTTGGGATGACGATATCTAAGAAACGTGAGCATCGTTGGCTATATGTGTGGGTCCGAAACGGAAAGATATTTGCAAAAAAAGCGGGCGACACCCCTATTATCACGATTTCGAAAGAGGATGACCTGAATCAGATTTGTTGAATAATGTTGGTTCTTTTCTGCGAGTGTACTGCATCATTATGGCAGAGAACCTTGATGTGTTGACGCCTGACCAATTGAATTTTTGATGAATAGAAGAGGTAGAAATACTTTCAGTTTTTTTCATTTAAATGTACAGTCTGCCAGGACCAAGGGAGATGACCTAATGATGCTTTTTGATTCCGTTCAAAGTTCATTTAATATTATTATGTTAACAGAAACATGGTATAAAGATGATGATGATTTTTTTGTACTTCCTGGATATAGCCACTTTTATTTAAACCGTGGGTATGGACGTGGTGGCGGTGTCTCGTTGCAAGCAAACTTTTCTGACCTCGAAATTCTTTCCGATTATTCTATCGTGACACGGAACTATGAAATACTTTGTGTTAGAAGAAAACGGGACATATTTTCTGTTTTGTATCGTCCACCTGGTGGAAACGTTGAAGTATTTTTAAATTTTTTAGAAACATTATTTTGTTTTGCAAATGAGGAAGGATGTACGCTCTTTCTTGGTGGAGATGTGAATATAAATCTGCTAGAGCAAACGCGTCTTAGAGATGAATTTCTTACTTTACTTACGTCTAATAACTTTTGTAATGTCATTGTCCCTCCCACTCGTGTCACAACCACGTCATCAACATTGATTGATGTGTTTGTGACGAATTGCGAGGAAAGTCTCATCAGTGCTGGTGTTCTAGGTTATGGTCTAAGTGATCACTTGCCAATTATTATGTTTATACACAAAACTGTGCCCCAGGCCACTGAGCTTGTTAATGAAGATAAGGAACCTACTAACATGACTCGAAGTATAAATCCCACTACATTAGAACAATTCCGATTAATTATTTCTAATACTAATTGGGACTCTGTATTCTCTGCAACAACTGCCAATGAAGCGTACAATGAATTTTTGAATATTTTCAAAAATATTTACGACAAGTGTTTTCCGTATAAACAAATAAAACAGTTTAAAAAAAACCGCAAGCCCTGGGTAAATAGAAAGAATTGGAAAATGATTCAGAAAAAAAAATAAACTCTATAATGTCTTCCTTAAAACAAAAGCACCTGAGGACCTTGCTCTTTTTAAACAATTTAGAAATACATTGAACAATGCTCTACGTCAGGCAAAACAAACCTACCTTAATAATTTATTCAACGAGTCATGCATGGATAGAACAGATGTGGTATGGAAACGGCTAAATGATGTATTAAAACGGTGTCCCTCTAAACCAGCTATACACGTAATGCAACGAGATGGGGTAACATTGCAAGGAAAAGCTCTCGCTGAAGCTTTCAATTGTTATTTAACTAACCTTGTTAGTAGCATACATATACCTTCATCAATGACGTATATGAAGCCTAGAAACGAACACAGCGCAGTTTTCTTTCCAACTGATCAAAATGAAATAACTTTAATTATGTCATCTCTTAAAAATAGCAACTCCTGTGATATAGACGATTTGCAGATAAAACCAATTAAGCATGTTTTGGACGTTCTATTACCTGTGTTAACACACATTATGAACTTCTCATTGTCCAGTGGTATTTTTCCTAAAAAGATGCAAACTGCAAAAGTCATTGTTTTGTTTAAAGGAGGGAACAAAAATGAATTTTCGAATTATAGACCAATATCAATATTTCCTGTGTTTTCGAAATGTCTTGAAAAGATTATTCACAATAGAGTGACGAGTTTCTGCACTAAATTTTCATTAATTTCTGACTCACAGTACGGCTTTCGCAGAGGTCGATCAACGGAGTTCGCTTTGCTAGAGCAGAAGGAGTTAATTTTAAAGTCGTTTGAAGAAAAAAAGTTAACTTTAGGCGTCTTCATTGATTTTTCGAAGGCGTTCGACCGTATTGACCATACTACCCTAATAAAAAAACTCGAACGCTATGGAATTCGCGGTGTACCTTTAAACCTTTTACAATCGTACTTTAAATTTCGCCAGCAATATGTCGTAATAAATGGACAGAGTTCTTCTGCCCTACCCATTAGAGCTGGAGTACCACAAGATAGCATTTTAGGTCCTTTGTTATTTAATCTATACATAAACGATATTGTTAATGTCAGCAAAGCCCCATCCTTCATCATTTATGCCGATGATACCAGTCTATTTTTTTCAGGTACAGAGATAGAAGACCTTGTTAAAGAAACGAATGCCTCACTAGAGAAACTGTATGATTGGAGTGAAGTTAACTCACTAATAATTAACACGACCAAAAGCAAGGCTGTCCTTTTCAAACCCAAGAATAGACATGTTTCTTTTTCTTTTAATATCATCTTGGGCCCCTCCGTCATAGAAATGGTGCCGAACGTCAAAACGCTCGGAGTGTATTTTAATGAACAGATGTCTTGGGATTATCACGTTAATAATGTTGTTAAAAAACTATCAAGAGTGCTTGGGAAATTATGTCAATTTAGAAATTTATTGCCTCGTCACATAAAAATGCTTATATACAGGGCCCTTTTTTTACCCCATTTGAACTACTGTAATTTAGTGTGGTGTACCACATCTCTGTCAAATGTTAACAAATTACACCTTCTTGAAAAAAAGGCTGTTCGCACAATACTCAATGTTCCTTTCGATACACATACACCCTCATTATTTAAAGAACTACGTCTAATAACTGTCCCTAATCTATATGAGTATACTTTACTAACACGATATAGATCAGCCCTCCGTTCTAACGAGCCTTTCCTTGCGCATATCTCAAACCTAACACCAAATATCCGGGTATATGACGTTCGTGAGGGGGAGCATTGGAAAATGCCAACAAATCGCACAAATTACGGTTTCCAAATGCTAAGGTATAATCTTCCATTTATTCTAAATAAACTTCAGAAGCATAATTTAACAAATATCGAGAGACTGAATCTTAGTACAATTAGAAATTTCTTCCTGTATTAAAATTTCGCTTGTATTGTGAGGTCGTGTGTTCTGTATGTTTCAGTTATCCTTGAGGTAGTATGATTATTATTTCTAGTCCTGTCATGTACCTAAATATGCTATGTGCCTTATATATATGTGTGTATATGCGCGTGTGTATGATGCGTATGTATGTATGTATGTATGCGTGTATATATATATGTACGTATATGCATATGTATATATGTATATATATATATATATATATATGTATATATATATATATATGATTTTTTTGTTATCTTTAACAGCGTGTTTAACTTATGCTGTTCTTCTGGTTCTTTTTTATTTATTTATTTATTTATTTGCTTAATGTTAAAAGCTGAAAACTTAATATTATTACTTCATGTGTAGTATGTCGCCGTGTGCCAATTGTAAGGCTGCAGAGGCCTTGTCAAGTCAAACTTTTGACTTTTTGCCCCTGCAGCCTACATCAGTTTCTGATGTGAAATAAAGAATTGATTGATTGATTGATTGATTGATCTCTTTGATATACTCTAATTTTGCGGTAGCATAACATGGCCGTGTCGTTTTTAATGTGCAAGGAGTAGTGGATGCATTTGTGCATCTAACAACTGTCACAAGTGTACGTCTCCGGAAGGCCTGTGCAGGTGCCTGTTATCTTAGAGGGATTGACCTAGTTCTAGCGTCTTACTGTCGAAAACATTACTTGACCTGGCTCGGTGCGTTCGTTTGCGCGTGTGATGCTAAATAAAGATCTTGGTCCCCGTAAATGCGTTCCCGCTGCTCTGTGAATCGTGCAAAGGTCATGTTTTCAACCATGGTTTCAATACCGAGAAAATGCCAACAGAGATAAGACCTTGCAAGACATTTGGCACGATTCAATCGGGCGTTCGACTCGCATGAAATTTGGCCACTATGTTTCTGTCATTTCCAGTTGAAACGCAAGTAGCTCAATTCCTGTGGTTCAGCTGGCCTGCCAAAACGAATGTATTCCTGTCGCGTTTTATTTGTGTGTCATGACGCTCACCCAGCTTAATCTACGAAGCCGTGCGGAAAAATAGCAAGATCAAACAAGCTGAAAGGAGAGCACAAATATTTTGTTGATTTATATTTAGTTCTATCAGTCGCTTTTACCGCACATCGACAAACCTTGACACGCGCTAGTATTTGACCGTGTCTCGTGCACGATGGAACGCTAGAACGCCGCTTTCATGGTCGCATCTTACGAGCCTTGCAGAAGTTTTTATACGGGGGCTAAATAGCAAAGTGACGAAAACGGAAACCGACCCGTAGCTTTCATGTCCGCGTGTTTCAGGTATTGTAGAAGACGATAGGCGGTGGTGGAATGGCATACGATGTTCGGAGGTTTCCACGCGTCTTCTCGCACTACTAGCAGGCGGTGCCAGACGCCAGACCAGACGTACCGCATGGCACGAAAGGGAGACACTATGCGGAGGACGAGTTCGTCTGCTCTTTGCGTAGGGGGTAGTCATGACGTCAGAACGCCGAGCCCTGATTGGCTGATCGCGACCCCCTATTTGAGCGTCGTCTGCTCCTTAGCAACGTCGTCTGCTCGCAACGTCGTCTGCGTCTGTCTTACCTTTACTGCGATTTCGAAAGTGCAGAGGCCAGGTTCACAAAACGATCTTACGCCAAACATATGCGTAAAACAAAACTTGAGAACAAATTCGTGTTCAAGAAACGAAATTTTCATAAGTTTTGCGCAGGTTACGACGAAATCCTACGACAGCTCCAAAGCTGTCTTAATCAAATCAGTATGGCCGACAGCGTCGCGGTCGCGACGACCAACGGACGTTTATTTTTCCACGTGCGCTTCTCACGCGTCCCTACTTCAAGCAGCAAGAAAAAAGTAAAAAGTGCTTGAAACAGACCTCGAGGAACAAGAACGCTGGACCCACAAACACCCGGAAAAGGCTCCAACAACCACGATTCCACCGACAACGGCCAGGCGAGCACGGCAGACAGGCCTAGCAGGCACTCCGACTCGGCGACAGTCTGCCCACGACCGGCTGGCGTGCTGAATGGAATATGCCTGCTCGACCCTTGTGAACCCTTCCCGTCTTATACTTTGATCGCTGACCTCAATTTTAGATTAAGAGGTCGACCTCTTCCTCTTGTCACCTCCTTGTTTTCCGAGGCAACGGTGACTCTC